AACAAGTCAATCACTTCATCATCATTACAATCTTCGTCTTCATCGGATTCATCATCTGTATCATTGGAATTTTGATATGATTTAAATGCTTTAACAAAATTAGAGCCACTATCTGTGGTACTAGCAACAATCTTATTTTGTATTTTATACATAGCATGAATCTTATATAATGCATTTGCTACATCATAAGTATGACGTCCTTTTAGACGAGTACAAGCCAACGATACTGATTCTCTGAAAACTTTTTATCTATCCAGTGACAAGTGACTCCTAAATAACTTTTTGCCTTTTGTCCAGCAGTCAGCTGTAGTAGCAACATGTTCAACATTTGATAATTTTGCTATAAGATTATCAACCATAGTTGAGTAAGCATTATCAATACGCAATTTCATCGTTTTCTACACATAACTTTTAACTCATTAGGCAAACCTAGTTTACTAAATTTACAAATGCAGGTTTGTCTACTATGCTTAAAGGTTGAGTTTCACTAATAACAAATTCAACAATAGTTTGTCTAAACTTTTCTGTGATACTTTTGTGTTCTTTACCTTTACCAGATGAATAGCACTCAAGTGTTGATTGAACTGATGTTTTGTGTACATTCAGATTGCCCAATGTTATCTTTTTGGTCGACTTGAATTAGATTTTCCCTCATTTACAGCATTTTCAAAGACCTTAATTTGAATGGATGGACTCTCTAAAAATATAAATGGTAATAGAATAGTTAGATTAAGTCATTGAATTCTTAAAAACAAACATTACAATGTTCATTAATTTATTTACCTACAGTTATACATATAATTAATTAATTGTAGTAGGTACAGTAATATTTTCCATTATTTAATTTTTTACAATAAGTTAGATAATTTAGGCATAACTATTATTTAATATTTATTAGCTATATTAGGTATAGTTTTTAAAATACATTTAAAATTGAAATGTATTCCAAAAAAATAAAAGTGCTAAATTTCAGTATATTTCATAATTTCATAAGTTACATTTTCTGATTTTCATAAATTATTACTCATTAGTTATTTAAAAGTAACTTTTAAACTTTCAAATTCTAATACAATTAACATAATAATATGAAATATGATTATTCAGTATTTTGAAAAGTAATAATCTAAAAAGCATTAAACAAGTTTATTAGCAACATTACCAAATATCATGATATGAAATAAATATATCAATAATTGGCTTACCGCAATATGACGTCGAAGGTTGGCTGTGTTCTTAGCCGTACTAATTATTTTGATCAGGGGCACATAACGCACTTGGCAAGTACATTATTTCCTTTGTAGCCATTGAACAAAAACTGTCAATCCCAGACCATGGCAAACATTCTGATAAATACATTAAATCAATAAAATATTAGTTATGGTTCAAGAATATTTGTTAACCATTGTAATCATAAGATTAGTAGTCAAAATTGAAAATATTAACAAATCTGAGATTTAACAAAGTTCATAAGGTTTGTATTTACCACTTTGGTTTGAACTATCCGGTAAAATTCCTTCAGTGGTGTTGTTGGTGTTGAGTTGGACATATTATTTTAATATTTTCGAACTTCAAACAAATAACTGAAATAACAATAACCAATGTAGAAAAGTGAAACACTGAAACTAGAAACACACGATCAGACGCCAGACAATAATTTTATTAATTCAAAATCGTATTATCGTTTAAATTAAAACGAATCACATCAAGACGATAGTTATCATTTAATTGTTTAACTCAACCATTATGGTATGATTATCACAATAACATCTTATCTAAGATCATGAACATATTATATACTAACTGTTAAGACAGGCGTCTACAGGGGTATAACTCCATACGACGGAACTAGTACACTCTGATAACAGTTGTAGACAAATACTGGGAGCGCTTAGTGATGGCGTTCAGTCAAGTGCATTGCCAACATACCAAAACCTAAGATTCCCAGATGGTATTACTGATCATAGTAAACATAACCTCAATTAAAATTTTATAGAGGCTTTGAATTTTTAACGGTGACAATTTTCACTTTGTGTTCGACGTTTGTGCTGTTTGCTAAAACATCGGGTCTGAAGTTTTTTTTACATTTTGAACTTATTGAAATATCTTGTAGTGTTGGTATTCTGTGCATTTATTTATTATTTTTGTATAAATTAATATTAAATTTTTTAAAATACGGCATCACGGTTTTAATTAAAATGCCTTCTACTGCATGTTGTTATAAATTGTGACCACGCACACTGATAAAGTAACACGACGACATCGTTTCCTAAGGATCGATTAGGTTTAACATTTGGGTACAGAGGTCTGGCAACAATAAGTTATTGAACAAGACTATTGATGATGTTTATAAATCTTATCATGTGTGACAAACATTTTGAACCTTGTTTTAAAAGTTTGATTACATAAGCTGAATGCAAATGCTGTGCCAACATTAATTTACCAGGTAGTAACAATTTTTCATTTTTATTTTACATATATTATTATATCATTTAATATCTAACTGAAATATACTTTTTCATAGAAATTATATATGTTGTTTGTGGGTCACACAATATATTGTAAACAACATCTGTATAAAATCAACTACTTGTAAATTAACTTATCTTTGATTTCAATTTTAATTGGTTGATTTGTATTAGTTAATTTAGAAAATTTGATATCCAAATATCAAATCTTCTTGCGCTGATGTCAATAATTGGTTTGTTTTTGATCTAATGTATAAATATGGCATGATGTAGTTATACGTTTGCTAAGTTAAATTGTAGTCTTAGAAATATTATGTACTAGCAACCTAAATTGTGATGTTCGAGTATCTGTTTTTTGTTAAATAAGGCAGCATGTCAAAAAAAAATTGCTTGAAACTTTAGTTATTGCATGTGTTTATTAATGTATTAATGGATGTTTGATTTATAAATTGTTTGTTCATTTTACTTTACTTATTAATATTATGTTTCAACTTTCAGGTATGATTGAGATGTTCAACGTCGACAATGAGAGTGACTCAGCAAACACAGTATGTGTGATGAATGTATCTGCCGTTTCTTCTGTCATGGACATCAGTGTCAACGAAGGTAACTATTAAGTGATTTTGTATATTTATTAAGAATTGAAATTGAGTTTATATACCTAGCTGCTATCAAGTATAACATATCCTGATTATTTACTTGGGGAGACATAGTTTTTTTTTTTTCTATCAAAAACTTGTTCTTTTCATACAAAGTAATAATATAGTGAAATTGAACGTATCATTTCAAATTTTAAATCTTGTTAATATTCTACTGAAAGTAATAATATGATATTTTGTGATAAAAAGTCATTTGTTTCCCAAGTAATGTTACAATTCTTACTTTCTTATATGTTAATACTGGTAGAAGTAGACAGTTAATCTAATATATATAAATCTCGTGTCACAATGTTTGTCCTCAATGGACTCCTAAACCACTTAACCGATTCTGATGAAATTTTTTACACCGCGTGTAATTTGGTCCAACTTAAAAGACAGGATATAGGGTATGGACCTAACTCCTGTGAGTTAGAGATTTAGAGACAAAAACCGAGTTACACCGGTGGCACCCTCTAGCAGATAAAAATAAAATATAAATAATTATACAAAAATCGATAATAGCAGGGCTTGAAATCGATTAATATCGATAAAAATCGAAAAAAAAAAATATTATAAAAGTTACGTTACCATGGCCACAATAATTTCAATTTATTTTATTTTATTTTATTTATTTATTTATTTATTTATGTGCTATGATAACATGCCACCGAAAAAATCTAACTTCAACAACGCAAGCAGCAAAGGGTCACGACGCAAACGTGTTGAAAGAGCTCAGCAATTACCAGAACAAATGGAAACAAGAAATGCAGCTCAAAGAATTAGGACTGCAGAAAGTCGTGCACGAGAATCTCAAGAACAGCGTGACGAACGTCTGCAACAGAATATTACGAGAACGAGAGCGGCACGAGAACAAAACATAGCTACAGTACGAGAAAGAGATCGACAAAGGCAACGGATCAGCCGCTCATTAACACGTGCATCATTCGTTCGGCTTGCCTTTGATTATGCACCAGATATTAACTACTCAGCGCATTCAATGATTGCTATCGGTGGAATGGATAAAGTATGTCAATATTGTCAGGCATTGAAATTTCGAAATGAAGCTGCCGGCATGTGCTGCGCATCAGGAAAAGTTGTGCTGTCACCTCTACCCGCTCCGCCGAAGCCTTTATTATCCCTTCTTACTGGCAATTCTGATGATTCCAAATTATTTTTGCGTAAGATACACACATATGACCATGGAAGTTTAGCAACAATTATCATGAACAGTGAATCATTACTGACAGCAGAACAAAAAATTATTTATGAACGGATTATGCTGGCTGTTGCTGCTGAACAAGGCGGTTTTTTTTTCTTGGATGCACCCGGTGGAACCGGTAAGACATTTTTAATATCGTTGATTCTTGCCAAAATACGGTCGCAACAAAAAATCGCATTAGCTGTAGCATCGTCAGGCATTGCGGCTACTTTAGGATGGTGGGCGAACAGCACATTCAACATTCAAGCTGCCATTGGACGTTCATAATAAACCAGATGCAATGTGTAACATCAAAAAGAATAGTGGAATAGCTGCAGTGTTGCGGAAGAGTTCTATAATAATTTGGGATGAGTGCACAAAGGCACACAAATATTCACTTGAAGCACTAAACAGAACTATGCAAGATTAAAACAGCAATAATAAACTTTACGGTTGTGCTATCTTACTTTTGTCTGGTGACTTCCGGCAGACCTTACCGGTTATACCTCGCTCTACTTTCGCGGACAATTTTTGCACTGTTGTTCAGGATAAAAATGATTTGATTCAGAGTGTTTTCCCGGATATACAGAATAATTATTTGAATCATGAATGGCTTAGTCAACGGGCGATTTTGGCAGCCAAAAACGTAGATGTTGACGAAATTACTTCCAGATACAACAGTTGTTACCAGGCGATCTGATGTCATTTAAATCAATCGATACTGTTGTTGACGAAAATGAAAGTGTAAATTTTCCGAATGAATTTTTAAATTCATTAGATATCCCTGGAATGCCACCACATAATCTTCGATTAAAGATTGGTTCCCCTATTATTCTCCTCCGTAATTTGAAGCCACCTCAATTATGTAACGGTACGCGTTTGGTCATCAAAAAGATTACCGGAAACATTCTTGAAGCAACCATTTTGTCTGGGAAGTTTAAAGGAAAAGTGGTCCTGCTGCCACGTATTCCGATGATACCATCAGATTCTACCATACCCTTCAAAAGGCTGCAGTTTCCAATTCGTTTAGCTTTCGCCATGTCTATAAATAAATCTCAAGGTCAAACAATGTCCATTTGTGGTTTAGATTTGGAAAATTCATGTTTTTCTCATGGGCAACTATATGTTGCGTGTTCACGTGTTGGGAAACTGTCGAATCTATTTGTGTTAGCTAAAGACAGGTTAACCAAAAGCATTGTGCACCGATTGGTGTTAAATTAAATAGAAAAATTAAAAGTATTTATAATTTAAAAAATTAGATATTAACGTTTAAAAGTTTAAGACTGTCAGCTTAATATCAAGTGTAAGAACATTTAGCCACAGCAACGCGTGGCCGGGTCAGCTAGTTATATATTATAATAAAACATTATTTAATTACTTATTTTTTATCATTTTCAAGGCGATGACCAAAATATTCCTTTGCTGCCAAGAATACTGTTTAGCATGAAAAAAAACTGTAAAAGTTTATTAAAAGACATTAACATTCAACGAAGAGCACAATTGACACCTCGCAAAGCTCTTTTATACAATTCTGTGAGAGTGTACAAACATCAAAATTTAATACTAAAGAAACGATATTCAGATGCTAAACAGAGAATTAAAATTGCCGATACATACATCAACTCAAAATCAAACTCTTTAAATGGACTAAATCAGTTTACACAAAATTTTATTGAATCCCAAATGCGGATGCAACCCCAGAAACCACGAGGAAGACGATTTACGATTGATGACAAGGTGTTTGCATTGTCTCTTTTTAAACAAAGTGGGAAGGCATATTCGACACTTTCAAAAGTGTTCGCACTACCTTCACGAAAGTCAATCACTGATCTGTTGAAAAAGGTACCTTTTGAAACAGGCATCAACAAAAAAAATTTTTGAACATTTAAAAGGGTCCGTAAAAAAATTGAAAAACAAACTCGATAGATTCTGCACGGTTATTTTTGATGAAGTGTCCATTTCTGCATCATTACAATTTAATGAATCAAACGGTAAGGTTATTGGCTTTGAAGACCTTGGGCAAAGTGATCGCTCAACTAAATTCGCAGATAAAGCTCTTGTGTTCATGGTTCGAGGTATCAGGAAAAAATTTAAGCAGCCAGTTGCATTTTACCTCACTACCAGCAACATGAATGGTCTAAAGCTTGCCAAAATTATCAAAGAAGTGATAGAAGCTGTACAATCAACTGGTCTTACTGTCATCTCTACTGTATGTGACCAAGCACCTACTAATGTGGCTGCGATAAATAGATTGCGTCAAGAAACAAACACTAAATATATGAAGAAAGAAAAAGAAAACAGTCTTTTTGGTTTTGAAATAAATGATAAGGAAATCATTCCTCTCTTTGATGTTCCACATCTTTTAAAAGGTCTTAGAAACAACCTTATAACAAAAGATCTAAATTTTATTTATGACAACAGCCAAAAAAAAGCTTCTTGGAAGCACATAACTCAGTTCTATAAGTTTGATAAAGATCAGAGCACAGAAGGAGATCGTCTAGTACCTAAACTTACTGATGCCCATGTATATGAAGAGAAAATTAAGAAAATGAAAGTGTCACATGCTGCGCAGGTATTTAGTCAACGCGTCGGTGCAATAATGAAGAGGATTGCTGTTATGTCAAACAATTGCACACCGAGTGAGTTAATAACAAAATATTATAGAATCGACCTTTTTTTTGTTAATTTTATTGTATATATAAATTGCTTTTATTTTTTTGTAGGTATTGATCGTGAAGCTGCAGACACTGGTCAGTTGTGCTTATTTGTTGACAACCTGTTCGATAGTGCAAATGGAAATGTCATAAAACCAACACCTGGCAAGGATCTTCGTAGCGCAGTCACATTGACCTCTCCTCACTGGGTATTTTGGAGTAAAGCTTTAGATGTTCTACGAAGTATGAAGTATGAAACAACGAAAAAAAATTCCATCAATTGCCAACTGGATTACTACTATTCAAGGACTTCAACTAATTTGTAAGCGACTTCTAAAAGCAGGTTTCAAATACTTTCTTCTAAGAAATTTCAATCAAGACCCCATTGAAAATTTTTTTGGATCAATTAGAAGTCACGGATTAAGGAACATCAACCCAACACCTGCAAATTTTATTTCTTCATTTAAATCTCTAGTGATCAATAATTTTACTTCTACTCATTCTGTTGGTGCAAATTGTGAAGACGATGATAGTGATGGCATTTTGGACAACTTGAAAGATTTTTTATTCAATGAAATCCCTTTAAATGAAGAAAATGAAGATGAAGAAAATTGTTCTGCTCAACATGATGCTTTGACTACATTCCCTACATTAGAGCAAACTGGAAGTCTAATTAACTCTGGCAGTAGAGCATACGTCAGCGGCTGGATTATAAAAAAAATTAAAAAAATTACAAAAAATTGTACAGTTTGCATTTCAAAATTATCATCACCGAAAATCCTAAAGGAACATTTCATTATTCAGGCTCGCCAATACATCGATTGTAATTTATTATATCCTGATCAAGATACCATAGATTTATATAGTTTCATTATACAGCCTTTTTAATTTAAATTTTCATAAATTTGTATTTAAAAATAATGGTTTAAATGAGTTTCTCTCATTAATTTTATGCGTTAACCACCGTCGAGTGCGGTCGATGTCTACATAGTTGTTACCTGTTGCTTATCAGCGGATTGTTTCTCGTATTTATAAATTTAGATAAAACATCCGTCGAGTGCGGTCGATGTCTTCATAGTTGTTACCTGTTGCTTATCAGCGGCTTGTTTCTCGTATTTATAAATCTAACGTAATTTGAGCGTATAATGATCTGCTTAATTTGCAACGAAGAAATCTACAAGGGAGACGAGTTAAAATGTAAAAATTGCAATGAATTCTTACACTTTGGCTGCGCAGGACTTAGAGAAACTATATTTCGTAAAATGAAAAGTGAGTCAAAAGAATTATGGAACTGTTCTAAATGCAAAAATAATAAAGATACCAAACATAAGACTAGCTCTTTCTCAAATTCTACTATTGAGAGTTTAGTAGAATCCGTTGAATTTATGAGTGAACAATTTGAAAGTTTCAAAAATCAAATGAAGGACATTTTATCTACTTTGGGAGAACTGCAAACTGAAAATAAGATTGTCAGAGAACAAAATGTAAAGAATAAAGAGGAATTAAATTTACTTAATAAACGTATAAATATTCTACAACAGAAGTCGCTTGAATGTAATGTTGAAATTATTGGAGTTCCCGAGGACAAGCAAGAAAATTGCGTCGAAACTATAAAGCAAATTGCTTCAAACTTAAAAGTTGAGCTTTCAGTACAAAATGCTTTTAGAGTTTATTCGGGTGATAAAAACAAAATAAGAAAAATAGTTGCTAATATTAATTCTAAAGAAAATAAACGGAATCTTATCAATGAAGCAAGGAAATCAAAACTAACAACAAAACAAGTTTGTGAGAAATGGGATAACGCAAATATATACATCAATGAACAATTAACACACACAAATAGAAATCTTTTCTACAAAACTAGAACAAAGGCTCGTGAGTATGGTTATAAATTTACTTGGTTCAAAGATTCTAAGATCTTCGTTAAAAAATCGGAAACTACAAATGTTATTTTAATAGATGAAGAAAAATCTTTACTTAAAATTGTTTAACTTACTATTTTAATTTAAGAAAAAAAGAAAAAAAAATAATAATAATAAATAAAATAAAATAATAATAATAATAAAAATAAAATCATGAATATTCTCAGTTCAATTAACTCATATTTAAGCTATAAAACAAAGTACTTTAAATCTATATCGGATTTTGTGAATAATTTTAGTCTATACGAAAAAAATTTACTAAATATATTTTGTATTAATATAAGAAGCATAAATGCTAATTTTGATCAGTTATTGCTGTTTTTTGAAAATTATGTCAATTTTTATCGCGTAGATGTAATTGTACTAACTGAAACATGGCATGATGTAAATAATTGTAATTATAATTTGCCTGGTTTCCAAATGTTCTTTAGTAAGATAAAAAGAAATAAAAATGATGGTATTATTGTTTTTATAAAAAACAATCTCTCTGTAGATTGCAATGAATATTGTAATGAAGTAGCTAATATATTAAACTTAAAAATTGTTGATAGATCATGTAATGTTCCAATTAATGTTTTATGTATTTACAGGTCACCGTCTCTGGATAGTGGTGAATTTTTGGTATATCTTAATAACTTAATAAACAACGATAAATCGCTACAAGACAGAACCTTAATAATAGGAGATATTAACATTAATATTATTGGTAATGAACACGTAAACAATGAATATTTAGATATGCTATCTTTAAATGGTTTCAGCTCATTAATTAATGTATACACAAGACTCCCATTAAACAAAACACACTCCTGTCTTGATCATATATTTTTTAAATGTAGTTATGATACGTTATTGAATAATACTCAATCAGGTGTTATTCAAATTGACATAACTGACCACTGTCCAATTATTGCATCAATCCCGCTATTAAAATATGAACCTCAAAACAGTAATAAAATAAAGCATATTAATTACAGCTTAATTAATCTTTATCTGGAGAAGGAGACTTGGGAATGTGTTTATAATGAATTTAATATTGATATTGCAGTTAAAAACTTTTATGATAAATTAAATTCCGTTATTGAAAAATGTACGAGTGAAAAAAAAATAGTATCTAAAAACAAAAGAATTAAAGAGTGGATGACTGCAGGCTTGTTGTGTTCGACACAAAAAAAAAATGAACTTTCGATTAAAATCAAAAGACACCCATTAAATAATGCATTAATTAAATATTATAAATCATACAGGAATAAACTTAATACACTAATAAGTGAGGCCAAAATCCATTTCTACAAAAACAAATTTAACTCGGTATCGTCTAATCCAAAAGCTACATGGAAACTAGTTAATGAAGTAGTAGGTAACATGGCTAATAATAAAGACACTATAAAATGTTTAGAAATTGATAATAAAATAATTGATGTTAATAATGAAACAATTAAAGCATGCAATGCATTTAATGAATATTTTACTACAATTGGCTCGCAATTGTCTAAGAAATTTATTAAATCGCATGAGATAGAAGTACTTTGTCCTAATGATAATAACTTTGATACCATTTTTACTAAACCGGTTCATAAAGATGAAGTAATTATGTTAATTAATAATTTAAAAGATGAAACGGCAACAGGCATTGACAAAATATCGGTAAAACTAATAAAAAGTATATCACGTTTTATATTAAATCCAATAATTTTTATTTATAACAAAAGCCTAAAAGAAGGAATATTTCCATCACAGTTCAAAACAACAATTGTTAAACCAATCTTTAAAAATGGGAATAAAAAACTAGTAAATAATTACAGACCAATATCGATGATCAATAACTTAGCAAAGATTCTCGAAAAAATAGTAAAGTCAAGATTAATGGCCTTTTTAGAAAATAATAAACTTCTTTCGAAAAATCAGTATGGTTTTAGACCGGGATTAGGAACTACAGATGCGCTATATATGGTCTCAAAAAATATTTATGATGCTCTAGATAAAAATAAAAAAACAATAGCTGTTTTTTTGGACTTTGCGAAAGCTTTCGATACCGTTGATCATAATGAATTACTAAAGTTAATGCCTGGTTTTGGTATTGTTAATGAAAGCTTAAAATGGTTTTCAAGCTATTTGAGTTATCGAAGACAGATGGTCACGATTAACGAAATAATAGGTAATGATTATACAATAAATTGTGGGGTGCCACAAGGAAGTGTACTTGGTCCAGTCCTATTTATAATTTATATAAACAGTATATGTAATATGCAACTTGACGGTTCAATAGTTACATATGCGGATGATACGTGCTTACTATTTTCAGATAAAACATGGGAAATAGTACAAACGAAAGCAATTAATGAATTAAACCGTTTTATACAAAAAATCAACTATAAGAAAATAACTATAAACTATAATAAAACTTTCTTTATGACTTTTTCAATTTATAATTTATCAAATTTTACAATACAACATCTCAAAGTTTGTAACTATGATAACAGAGACACTCCAACCTACTCCACAATAAATAGAGTGACTAAAATAAAATATCTGGGTTTGATGTTTGACTGCAATATGAAATGGAATATACATGTATTAAATATAATAACTCGGCTAAGGACGATTACGTTTAAATTATATAGCTTAAATAAATTAATTTCTAATGACACGATGAGAATTGTATACATGTCACTATACCAGTCCATATGTCAGTATGGAATAATTGTATGGGGTGGTACTACAAATAGTATACTTAATCCACTATATACACAACAAAATAATGCAGTTCGTACATGTCTTAACAAAAAAAATAAATCCGGGTCCACTAAGAACAATTATGTAGAACTTAATGTTTTACCGTTAAGTCTCTTATACAAAAAATTTGCTATATGTCATACTCTAAAAAAATATTCTCCGCCGAATGATATAAGAAATAAGCGTGAAACCATAGCTTATGATATTAAGATTAATTATCCTAAAAAAAATATAGGCCAAAAATTCATCGACTATCTGGGACCAAAATTATTCAACGCCTTAAACTTTAATGTAAAAAAATACTTAAGAACAAATACTAAAATTAATGTAAATAGATATATAAGTGAAACATTGTTACATGAGCTTTAAAATAATTGTAAACTTTGTATATTATATTAGGTACTCTATGTATATAGTATATATGATCAGTGTATTAAGTTGTTTAAAAAAATTGTTGTACTTATATTTAATATTTCTCTTTTCTTTTTTTTTCTTTTTTTTTTCTCTTTATTTGTACTTTTTTAAATCTGTTTTCATTAGTATATATAGATAAACAATATTAATTATCATTACAACAACAAATTCATAACTCATAACTCTCTACTTCCAACTCAAGCTTTGCTTACAGGAAGTAGATAAACCATTGTAATTGTATGTTTGTGATTATAAAATGTAATAAATGGTTTATTTAAAAAAAAAAAAAAAAAAAAATTTCAAAATGTGCACCTATAGAAAATTTTAAATGTTCAAATCATGATTTAAGTAATATGTTCCTTAAAACTGCTTGTAAACTTTTAACGTACAGTTATATTAATAATATCAATAGAATTTTAAGCAAAGGAGAAAAATCAAATACATTGGATCCAATTAAACAATCTGCTATTTTGTACAATAATAAATATTCTAAGAAAAAGAAAGTTTTACTTCGTCAAAATGTAAATTATTTGTAGCTTTGTAGTATGTTAATATTGTTATTGTTATATTATGCTTAATTGTAACTAAAATGTAAATTATTTGTAACTTTGTATTACCTATATTATATCTAAAATGTAATTTCTGAAAATGTTTTTAATAAATATATTTATTATACTATTATTTTGCAATTCAATACTTTGTTTCAGTTTCAAATGTGAATAAAAAAAGTAAAAACAATAATCGATTGCGAACTATTGATAATCTAGTACTATCGATTTTCTAGTGCTATCGATTTTCTAGTGCTATCGATAGTATAGTTATTGAGACAAACGACGGGAGCGCTGGTGTCGTTCATTGTATCAATACTTTGTTCAGCAGTTGCCTTTCTATTTAATCTTTTTTCTATGGGCGTCTACTTTATCAGAGTGATTCGCTTATTGTCACCATTTCAATAATAATCCGCTAGGTTCATATTTCGTTTATTGGTCCATGGCGCGCGGAACCAACGACACGTAGTCGCCCGACGGCGTCGCGGCTCAGTTTTGGCGCGGAAACACTCTATATGCGCTTCATAAAATATACTGTGGCACTCAACGTGTTAAAAATAAATATATTTATATTTTTTTTTTTCATTATTTGAGGAACGGAAATTTTCGTTCCAGTTCCTTCAAAATAGGAACTCGTTCTCGTTCCTCGTTCTTATATTTTAAATGGAATGCGTTCCGAGCTTCGTTCCTATAAAAGGAACGCGTTCCTTCCCAACACTGATATATAATATATATTATAATAACAATAAAATAAGAATGTAATGAATCATCATCAATGAAATAATTAAAAAATGAATAAGCTTAGTTGGTGGGTGCCACTTTTTTTTTTGTAACAACATATGTCATGTTTAAATTGGAATTGAGTATGATAGCACAGTTATATAATAATATTAATGAGAGTAATTGAAGTATGCACACATATAATAGAGTTACAGGAATGAGTGTGACATTATTATATATTATTAATATAAAATAATAATACATACATACATACATACAATGAAAGCATATAAGCAAAAAATGTCAATATTAAAACATTGTACATATTGGTATTACCATGAGTTCAGATATAACTAATGAATGACAAAGTCTGAGTAACATATATAGTTATTAAAATGAAATAATATAATTGTTGTGTATCTGATAATTAATTTAAAGTTAATGTGGTTGTATGTACGAAAATTATCTTTAAGGACAACAGCATACATATATAATAATATATTATGTATTTCAATTGAAATAATAAATAAAAATGATACATGATGATATGCAGTTCTTTGTTTACAACAATATTATTAGTAAAATGTATTAAATCAATAAGTTGCCGAAATGGTAAGTATTGTTTATGCTGATGTGTATGTATAAACATAAGCAGCAGTTATCATAGAACAGTAGGGTATTTAAGGTGTTATGTGGTGTTTATCATTTACGTTTTGTTATAAATACATAATTTTTTATATATCACTTACTAAAGAGGGCACTGCTCTGTTAAACAAACGACGACGATCACGGGTTTCTCTGTAGTCAAGACCAGGCACAAAATGCCTTGAACACAGTTTCGAGGAGTTTACGATCAGTTGCACATTCACCCCATTGTTCTCAACGAATAATCTCCACAAACGTCTAAATTCATCGTTCGCTGGAAACCTAATGTAAACAACATACTATTAACATACGGCTGGAACAATAATAAAGTGACGTTATATCATATATATATCATGCGGGTATGACAATACAATTACCTGTGCAAAGAAACTCCTTCAAAACCATCGACGTTCCCACAAATGATACAAATTCTGGGCTGGTACTGAATTCCGTCCCGGGCCCCCTATGGTTCCATAACTGAAGACCGAATTCCGTCCCGGAGGCGGAGCAACTATGTCTGAATTCCGTCCTACTACCTGTAACTATGATATAGGTGGCAGTAACATTTTCCTTCACATTTTCTCCAGGCTTAGGACTGGCAGTTTTGCTGGCATGTTTAAAAATGTAAAATCCGGCAAAACAGCCTTATTTATTTATTATTAATATACGGAGCAAAAAAAAACTCCATTTACAGTATATGCCATTTATGTATAAATATGACAGTCATATAAGTATTTTAATAAATTTAAGAGTATAATTATAATATATGTTATGTGTAATTAGTATTTAAATTATTTATTATTTTAATTATTATTTTTTAGATTTGAAATAGGCTGGTAAAAACTTAGACGACACCTGACACACAAACTGGTGTCGATCTATGTTTCGACTTTTCCAAAGCATCATTTTATCATTTAAAAACTGTTCTCTCTCCAATGTTATTTTTGATTTTGGCAATGTACTCCGCATTTTGATATAAATTTCAGTTTGCACTGCTTTTACAGCTTCTGTGAATTGAAATATGTTTGGTTTTGAAGTATAAAAATAACTGTTGAATTTCGAATGAAATGACTCGCAATTGTTTGTGGTGCGGGATACACAAGGTGAATATTCAGCCCAAATAGATGGTGGAAAAAGAGCACTCTCTGAAATATATGTATCCAGCAAATAATCACAGAACTTAGTGACTCTGGCATCATCAGGTTTAATCGAAACAAAATCGAATACGAACGAATCACTAACTGCGTTAGGAGGTAAAAATGGCAATCCAAATAACGATCTCAGAAAGATACTTATCGATGAGTCAAATTTTCGGTATTCAGTGCTCAAACCCAAACTCTGTATTTTTCTCCACCAGCTTTGGCCCAGATAAAAACGACAGCCAAATACAGGAATATGAGGAAACATTTTCTTAATTGCAGCATGAATCGCGGGTTCGAAGTCAACACGTTTTTATTGCGAATAATTGCGATAATACAAAAAAACGATACGTGTGATGTCAGGTGAAGCCTCTTGAAGTTCTATAAAAATTGAACTTATAACCGTCTAACCGTCTAACCGTCTAAAACTAGTTGGGACGGAATTCGGACCTAGTTGCTCCGCCCCCGGGACGGAATTCGGACCTAGTTGCTCCGCCCCCGGGACGGAATTCGGTCATTTTTAGCAACCCGGGACGGAATTCGGCAATTGCCAAATTCTGACCATAGTGATGGGCCTATAAAGCGCACATAGCATACATTGTAAATATGTAACACGAAATGAATGAACATAAACATATCTAACGATGCTGTTGATTTGATTAGTAGTAATATAAAACATGTTTAATATGATCATATTGGACTTGTAAAAATGTAAAATAATTAATTTAAATTAAATTAAATTAAAATAAAAATAATACATGTATACGATGCATTGTAAATTATATTACCATATACAGTAAACTTTGGTTTAACGTATGATTATCATCATTATATTCGTTGTTATCGGTATGTTATCAGCGTTGATAATACAGGAACTTGAGAATTCCGAATGTTATGAGTTATTTTTAGAAATTATATATTATAAATTAAATTTAAATTTAAATTAATTGAAATAAATGATGTGTAGGTATACCAAACTGTTTTAAAAATTAAGAACGGAATACAACAAATCAACACGAAGGAAAAATATTAGGCGACGTCTGACAATCGTGTCGGGAACGTCATAAAGAAGTTTTGAAACAAAAAAAAATTCAAAGTTTTCATGAAATTACACAAGAGTTTCCGAATTAAAGGCAGCCTAAAAATGCCGATTTTAACGGGTATACTCGTGACGGTCATATAAATAAATATCTACGCAAGATACTCAAGTACGTCATCGTCGTAAATGAAGAAACTTGTACACAACGGTCTCCAAATCCTCGAATTTAAAAAAATATAGATATTATATAGAATCATCATAAATAATAAAACTTGTACTCACCGGTCTAAAACGTCGATCGAACAAATTAATAAAAAAAAAAAAAAAAAAATATTTATGTGTAAGCAGAAAAAAAAAAAGATTTATACAAATTATACCTATTATAGATGTATACAACACTATAATGTGTCGTACGGACTACGGTCAAACGTATTGAACAACGTTCGTCGTAGAAAAGCTGCTCGGAGTAGAAACACCGGACCCAGGAGCACGATGTTCTTCGACCTCTCTACCCCGAAAACACATAATACCAGTATTACCAAATATTGCGAATATGCAATAATATTATATATATATTAATCATATTTAAATTTATTATGTTGTTGTATACATAAAAACTTCTCATCGATGAATGGAAAGATGAAATGAATCTATGAACAGAATCGCGGTAGTAGTATCATCACAAAGAATGAGTACCTAAGTACGCAACGTGTTTTGTTTTGTGTATATTAACATAATAAATCGTCATTCATTTCCAATTTGAACGTGCAACCGTGCAAGTGAGTATATTATATTATATTACATTATTTTTATAACAATAATAACAATAATTTTTCCATATCCTACATATTATTCTTATGTAAATTGAAAATTAAGTTTTATATATTTGTTATGTTAGTATTTATATTTATTAGAAAAATGCAAAATATTAAAAATTGTACCATCAACGTGACTGTCTCCTTCGGGGGACAGTCATGTGGCGGCGGTGGTGGCTGTGGCGCCCGACATGGGGCTTTTAAAAAAAAAAGTAAGTATGAATAATAAGTTTAGCTATATTAACGAATAATGTATAATATAATATATTTATGCTTCAGAATGTTACAACTGCCAAAAATTTGGCCATTTGGCCAAACATTGTAAGTATGTTTTATATACTTGTAGTATCTATATGTTTATGTATATATAAAATGTAATAGGAAACGTAAACAATATAACTAAATTATTTTGCGTAAATAATTCCAGGCAGGAGACCGAAAAAAATACAGGATGAGCAGGCGGTGGTTGCTGAACAACCAAGGGTGATGGTGGAGGAGCCACCGAATGAATCACCCGAGGTTGCAGCAACCACAGCCTGCTTGGCTGAAATGAGGATTGTTGTAAGTATTGTTAAAAATGATTTTTTGTTATAATTATTTTATTGTAAAAAATTTATCTTTTATAGGAACCAGAAAATGACGACATGTCATCTGTTTATGACGAATTAGGTAAGGTTCTATTTTTACTACTGTTCTTCTATTTTTTCAAAATCTAATTTTTTTTGTATGTTTTTTCAGAATAAATTATTTTTATTTTTTTAATTCTTTGTGTTTTACTTAAAAGGTTTTTCCTTTGTCCTTATACGTATATGTTTAAGGTATGTCATATAGTATAGATCATATAAGTGTGTATTTATTTGACTAAATAATGTATGGTCTATATAGTATATTAATAGTAGGGAAACATAAATTGGAACTAATGAGTGTTCATTTTACACTAAAGTAAGTAAGTATATTACTATAATAACATTTCCATAAGAATTTGTTTATATACAAATTTTTTTTCAATTTAAATAAAATACTATATTCTATTTGTTAAAAGCGTTGTAACAAATGTATTCTATAGAAGTCTTAGAAATAACATAAAATTATCCTAGTATGAAGTATTAAATAATTTTTAGTACCTAGTTAATAATTAATTATATTAAAAAAATATAAATAAACAAATATATAACCAATGATGAATTTAATACAAATCATAATTAGTACATAGCTTACTTGTAATAAAAATTAGTACATGGCTTACTTGTAATAAAAAAATTAAAATTAAATAATAGGCATCACATGAACGTTAGTAATCGTACACCAAAGCTACCAAATAAAGGGTACAGGGGAAAAACAGTAGTATCCATTTCTGAAAATTTTTCAGGGGAGCAAAAATATAGTTATGGACTAAAATATTTCTTCACCAGTTTACCTAATCTTTTTCATTTAATAACTGTGGACTGACTGAAAGATTTTTTCACTGAATCGATTTCAACTGTCGATATTACTCTTTATTTGCTATTGAATCTTTTAATATAAAACCAAAACGAGCTTCCTGGGTTTTTTCGCCAGAGTACTCTGGTTTAGTTTACTGGCCAATCGAAAAATTCAATTTTTTCTCATCGTCTTTCTTATCTGATATCTCGCGCGCGCCCGTTATCGTTATCGTTATCTCCCGCCGCCTTCGTTTTTGTTTGTTTTTCTTATACGGTTTTTTCCGCTTTTCGCCCGATTTTCCGGTCTTTGGCGACCTTTTTCCGTCGCGTTCTCGACGCTACGGCCGAGAGCGGGTTTTTTTCGTCCCGTCCGCCCGCGGTTTTCGTTCGGATTCGGTCCTCGGCCGCGTCCGTCGCGGAGACGGACGTCGCCCGTTTTTCTCCGGTTTTTCTCTCCGCCCGAATCGGTTTCGCCTTTTTCGCGTCCGCGCGTTTTCCGATCGCGCGGAACGCGTCTCTCGCGAGCCCCGCGTCCCCGAATTCCGTTTGCGACCGTACCCGTCGCCTCCGGAAAATGCGTACTCGCGACGCGTTCACCGGTCGGTTATCGTATCGTCGCGCGTGTACTACTGTTTTTTTTTTACGATACGATAAATCATTTATCCCTGTCGAATACGCGTTTTTTGTTTTCGGTGTCTCCGCCCTCGGACGCCTCCGCGACCTCATCGTCTCGATAGCGTATAAAATACGATTATGTGTATAAAAAAGAAACGTGTGCCTCCCGTCGATGACGTACGTCAGATATGACCAGATTCTTATTTTTATTATACAAAAACATCACAAAATCTTTGCTCTTCGGTCGTTGTAACGCCTTTGATCACGTACGTTTGGGGCGATATCGTGATATGTGTTTGTGATGATAAACTCGGTACGTCGTTAAGACGTATACGATTAAATAATGTAGAGGAATACGTCGGAAACACTCTAAACGACGATTAATATGCGATTTACGGTTTCGCGAAACGCGAATCGTAAAATCGTATCGCTTAAACGACGTCTACTATAGTATTCGTCGCATCTCTAAAACGGTTTAAGTGTTCGAAATTCGGTTACGGTTTTCAACTCAAACGGTAGTCGATAGGTGTTGGGATAAGTTCCCCGACGTTAGGTAGGCAGGTTCGAATCCCGTTCCGGCGATATTCGGGCGGCTCCTTAAGAAACTGTGTGTAACGGGTTTTTTGCATTTTTTTTTCATTTAATTCGATCATTATTTATTGCTATTTTCGTTTT